TCCATCAAAATCTTTTTTTGTGTCTCCGTGCTACAATATTAATGCAGAGTCCATTTGGAGCAGTGCATGTCTCTCAAAGCGCCCTCAACTAGGTCGTTAACAAATTATTCAGTCACACTATCATGGACTTCGTAGAAATGGCATCTTTATGACATCTCGTTACAAGTGGAGTGTTCGGAAAATCATTTCACTCGATCTGTATCCATTTATTTAAAAATCAAAATTACTTCATTCTTGAATTTTCGACAGCGTATTGAAATGGAATGTACAGCTCTGTGATCAATCTTCATTGGCTAATGTGAGTTGCGTCTAATTCTGAGTGCAACTGTACCGGGGCCTTCTGTTACACTGTTCCAACTGCTACGCGTTTTATTAAAATGAATAATGGTTTTCTTAGAGAATAGGCACATGGCCCATGGCGCCTTCTGCTACTGCCATACGTATAGGACTAGAGAACCAACGATGACATTCTGAGACAGAGCTGAATAAAATGCAGGGCACGCAGGAGGTGAATACGAAACGAGTCACCCGACATAAATTATTTTCACGCTGCATGCGCCATGACAATACGTCATTTAACTTAGAACAATTCCAAGGTTAGTGCTTTTCGACTGGGGGAGAATTTTCTTTTACTAAGGTAAACAGGAATGTAGGGGACGGACAAGTAAAAATTACGTTATTTCTGTACTTAGACACTTAATTCAGGCATTTAAATTGTTGCCAATCAAATTTGTAATATCTTAGAGTCACGAATACATTTTATATTGAATTGATATGTTATTTAAAATAAATCCTCCAACAAATTAAACGATTTTAAAATACTTTACAAAATAAACTTATTTATCGGCTTTCCTAACAGGGCGATTAAATCAAACAGGCGTGCAGCACTAATGCGGGAAATGAGAAACGTATACAATATTTTGATGAAAAAAGTAGTGTAGTCCGAATTTTGCATGTATTGGTTGCGCCTGATTCCTTAAACCGAACTTGTAAATTAATTTCTGTAATGGTGAATGTTTTCTTCGCGGTACGGACTAAATTGTTAATTATTAGTCTAATTTGGCGAGTTTCGGCTTCAATAGGTTAAACAGGATTAACCACTTGCACTTGTTCTGCAGAAGAAGTACTATATTCGAAAATGAACACCTTGAATGTACCATGTTAGTAAGTCCACAACTTTTACGCAATTGGCATGAGCTGCGGCCCAGAAACCAGGGCGACCTTGGATCGAGTGTGAAGGTGCACGTGTTCCATACTCGGTTCACAACATTAATTTTGTGTGTGTCAACTACAACACATATAATAGCAGGAAATTAAAAATAACACAACCGAATAATCGCAGTAGTTATAATAAGAGATCTTGAAAGGATTGAAAAAATGCATGTGAAAAGTGATTAGGAAGTTAAAACCAGCGTTCTAAAGGTGAATTCTTATCAACAATTTTTAAGTGTCTTTTATCCAAGATACATGGTGCAGGAAGATAGCCAATCCTTCCAACTTCGCAAAGGGAATAAAAAGTGTATCAACTCTTCTTATTACGATGCGTCTACTAATTGAGCTAAATATTATACGAAAGGAACAAATAAACTACGATGCTCTTCCGTCTTGCGTATTTTTTTTCTAGACATCTTTTTGTGACTGCGTCTGTATTCTGCTGCATAAGCGCCATGTGCAGTTTCATCCAGGGTGTAGGAGAACCTCTGGGCGCCATGTTGGCGTAGTGTTTGGACACAAAACATGCAGGATGAGAATTTGAGCCAGTGTTTGCTACACTCGCTGTTATTTTTTCCGGTTAAGTGCAATATTAATGCGTACAAACATTACGCAAATTGTGACGATATTTGTAGAAATATATCCTGTTTTCTTTTTTTTAGAATTCGACATATTTGCGTACAAAGGCTGTAACAGAAGATATGATGATTTACTTTAAACCCATACACGTCACTGTGTTTACATTTGTATAGTTTCTTTCAGTCCCACTTTATACATGAATTAGTATATACCTTCACAGTGATGTTATGATAAATTCGCTTCACAACAGCTATTAAACGTCCCTTCTAAACAAACAATTATATTATAATACAACGAAATGATAACATAGGTATGAATTTAATCTGGTGTGATTACTTGTAGCGATGTGAATCTAGCATATGTAATTTAGTACGTGGTAAGCGTGGACGATTCTAAGCATTGGCGTATCCTGTGAATTATGGTAAAAATTTCAGGGGCATTGTTTGGCCTATGTCTATATTTTTACGCGTAGGTGCGTACGTGCATAAATTAGAGGTGTAAATGGTAGGCAGAGTGCAAGGCATGTCTGTCAGATCAAATGTTTCAACTTCAAAAGCAAATACGGAATTCGAAGAATTACTTTCAAAGCTGGGTGTTTTCATTCATTTTCTATCGATACGTAACTATTCGCAAGGTAAGAGTACGTCTTCAGAAGGTAATCATCGTCGAATCAAGTTTCCCAACTTTCACGAAAAAAAAGTTACATTAGCGGTTAGAACGCTGGCCTTGTAATCCTGGGGTCTCGGGTTCGATTCCCGGCGGTGACCGAATTTATAGCTTGTGTTGGGCAAGGCCGTGGTCTAGGCAACACGGAGTTTTCCTCCGGGGGCTTACCCGGTTTCTCCGTGGCATCCCAACAATTACTCCATTCACACACAGAAGAAGGCAATGGCAAACCACTTCTGGATCATCTGCCAAGAACGTATATGAACAGGTCCCAGTCCGAAAAAAGGATGGAAGGATCCTGTTCATAATATGTCACCAACCTCCTGTAAAGGAGACGGCCTAATAAAGAAGAAGAAGGTATGGAAATACTAAAATAGATGAGGGTAATCAAATTTTTAAGGATGGCAAGGTTTGAGCTGGATTCTTTTTGTGCTGCTGCAGTGGTGGAGTTACACGGGTTAATTATGATGTAAGATCTTGAGGACAGGTTATTGATGCTATCTTTTCATATGTTTGCATATTCAAAGGGCAAGGATTTATATGTAAATATAGTTTATGGCTATGTGGAAATTGTGAAATTTTGTGTCAAAAATGTTAGTGCTTTATATTTGAACAAGATTAACTAAAACTTCATTGTTGTGATCTTTATAACAAAAGGAAGGAGAGGTATTTAGGCTTCTGAAACGGATATCCAGATATAAACACTGACAAGTTATTCCTCGTTGTTATAGATGAACCAGGTATGGGTAAGCTGTAGAGGAGAGAGCCCAGCTGATAGAGAGAACATAGGCCCTATCAGCTATATACCTAATCAAGGATTTCCTGGTTACTATTATCCTTACAAAAATGTAGATGGATATCTGAGTCCTCTTATTGCAGTACATCTGGCAAGGCCACAATGTGAGTCATTTTCATAATATTTCACTCTTTTCTCTTTCTACAAATTTATTTACCTACTCACCTAATTAGTTACTTTAGTATTATAATTAACATGAAAAGTCTATGCATCTTGCAAGTTGTTTACAAGGAACAAATTAAAATTTGGTTTGTCTGTAGCCATTTCTGGAAATTCCATTTTGAGGAGGAGGTGATTAAAGATAAGAACAGTTGGCCACTCCTCCCCATCTTGAAGTACATGAGTTCAACTACTATCTTACGTGCAACTTATATGGAACTTTGAAAAATTGAAGGAACAGTTTTGTGAAACCTATGCAGTGTAGAATCTGTACTGTTTATTAGTTCTGTCAACAATAAATTTTTGCCTGCAACAAATGAACGTCGACACAAAAGATAAATTTCGTGGAACCGTTTGAGGAAAGCTTATTTATATCTAAGCTCTGTGCTACAGCATCTAAAAAGCTATAATAATAGACATGGCCCATATTCGCATGTCTTTTGACTTTTTTCGTCTTCTGTAGAAATAAGTATCACTGACGTAGACATTTATTAGTCACGTGGTTTAAATTTACAATATTGTACACGACTCCCTGGTCTTATGTCAACTTATAAATATATTTACACTTGTTTTAACACTTTTTTACGTTCTCTAATATTCTTTGAATTACACCTCCGTCCCTATAGTTTATAATTTACTTGTAATACAAACACGTTTCAGGAAAATAAAACATATTCAGTTCTCCGCGCATAACGAATCTTTGGGTATCCATTCATTTGACACGTACTTTGGATTGATACCTACATGGCCAGACAAACACGTACTTTCTACTTATTGATGGCTTCTAGTTGTTCTTTAAATAATATTTATTTACGTACAAATCACCCCAACTAAACTTCAGCTAAAGGTCAAAGAAATGATTATCTTAATAGGAAAATGTCTATCACACATAAATTATTATAATTCTGCCATGGGATGTTTATAATACTGTGTCAGTGTGTTATGATTAAATTATTATAACCGTTGCTATGGTAACGCTGCTACGGACTCCGAGCCCAAACAGAAATTTGCATTACTAACAGTAGAACCACTGCATTATATGTCTGGCTAACAACTGTTACGATCCAAATTTGATTTTTTTTTTCAACGCGTGTAGTTCTTAATGACTGAAATTGTCACTCATCACGGTTTTTTAGAGGTGTTTTAGGATTTGATTTTTCATCAAGGTCTTTTTAGAGGTGTTTTAGGATTTGATTTGGATCGTGTTAAAATTCGCGGATAACATGACTGAACTTGATGTTTAAAGCGTTACAAGTACAGTCACTAGTCATGGCGACGTAAGCTGTAAACCTGACAACGAATGAGGATACCATTAATTCTAAAAGACCAAATCATGGCAGTGTAACCATGGCATGTAAGCCTAATGTGGAGGATTTACAGTACACGAGACTAAACAGTGCGTTTCGCGTACGTCAATAGCTTGTGGGTAGAGGGAAAAACAAACACATGCTATGTAATGCAAAGACATTACTTAAAAAGCTAAGCACAGAGTAATGGCGCTGGGAAATACATTCGATAATATTAAGCTGCTTTTGTTGTAGTAGTCGAGTCAGTTACAAAGCCAGAAACCAATCAGATGCTACTGTACCTGTCGGAAGCGCGGCGTTTGCCGTTCTCTGTGACGTCGGAGTGGAAGATCTCGGATGGTTCGCTTGGAGAGAAAGCCGGGTCCAGCACCACGTGTTCGTGGTGTCGCAAATACTGCTGAGGCGACTGCAAAACAAAAACACAGATCGCGTCAGCAGGCTCTTCTGAGATCGCTGGGCTTCGCTGCCTCGTCGGAAGGGTCGCTGCACGGTTTTTAAAATCGACGGCACATCTCTCTTTGGTTTTTATGATATCTTTGCATGAAAATCATAAACGAGGGACAATTTTTGTGAGATTTAACGTTCTCACGGGGATGAGTATGAAGATTTCTGTCTTCTGGGTTGTTGCGCCGTGTAGTCTGGCAAGTTCACAGACGTTTCAGTTGTTAATGCCCTCAGGCAGCAAGTACCTCTGAAACGTCAGTAAACATTTCCAGACTGCACGGCGCAACAACCCAGAAGACAGTCATCATCACGGGGGCGTGTTTGTCCATTTAAGTATTTAATTTTCGGAACTACTGAATATAATTCGATTCAATTTGTTATTGTGAGTGTCAGTTGAAGATCAACACAGTACGACTTTATTATCGTGCCTGAATGTGGAAGTAGAACCAGCTTCCGACACGCTGTTGTTTTAATTATAAACACTTATAAGACTATAAGATGGTATAGTTGCGTCATATTGTGAAAATATATATTTAATAATTAATTATTCTTGTCCGTCTAATCACAATTTAAAATTTAAAATTAAAATTAAGATAATTAAAATATCATGTGATGTTCCTATCGAAACATTCGAATGTTTCGATAGGAACATCACATGATATTTTAATTATCTTAATTTTAATTTTAAATTTTAAATTGTGATTAGACGGACAAGAATAATTAATTAAACTTATAAGACTGATGTCGAAAATAAAATTTCTCCGTCGTACGCACTGTGCACGTGTTAACGATGGAGCGAATGCCACTGTGTGTAATGCTACATGATCGGTGACTACGTTCTTTGCCGTCCCGTTGCATAAACCAATCCGTAACGAGCCTGCCCAAAATCGTCATGTAGTGCAGACATCAAGTAAACTGAAGCGGACAATATTGTATTTGGAAAATAACTGTACTTAAAATAAATTAATCTTGGACAAAAGTAATTTCTCTGCCCATCACTTATTTAATAAAATCACTCCATTACCTTTACCAATTTAACCGATCAGAGTTGCATGATAAAGTATGATAACCGATGTCTCAAGTAATATTTCAACAGTGTTCCTGTTCTATTTTGATTTAGGTTTCAGCCGAGTTCGGAATTCAAACTACGGCTTCCGAAGTAAACAGACATGCACGCTACGTTTATTCACTAATGTGATAAGCTTTATGCTAAAATTAATCGTAAGGCATACTTAGACAGACAGTAACATTTTGTTAAAAATGTGGGCGAGAAACTGGCATAGCTACAGCAGGTAAACAGGTTTTCAAACGTGGTGACCTGTTTTCTGGCCAGTATAAAATACGGTCCAGGTTTTTAACAGTTACAAAACGTATTTTTCTTACTTGTCATTCTTTAATAATAAAAATAATAAAACTTAAAGTGTTCTTTGGTAAAAATAACATTTGGCTTTGAAAGCAAGTCGGTGATGGTATTGCCAGATGGTAGATTCGTATGGGATGGAATATCGGGAAAATATACAAAAAAAAAACCGATTCACTAGCAACAAACCAAAACGTTCAAATGTTTTCCTCACTCCCTCTGTTTTACCTTCGTACCACCGCGTCTTTTCTCAAAGCGTCTTGCAATTTCTCTTTTACTTTCTTCTTTCAACAGCCATCCCTCGCCTTAAAACAGTATTTGTGCCCATGCTTAATCAATACTTCAGACCTTACACTGGGATTACAAATTAATATGCACTGAGGTGAAGGCAGAAGAGACAGTCTGTTTCGAAAGTCACTTCTTAGCAACAAACACAAGACTTAAGAAACTTTTTGCAGAATTTCCCGCGTTTCTAAACACTATTACACTCAAATCCAAGCGAGCTGTTACGCAAGCCCAAAGCATTCGCGATCTCCATATCTGACGCAGTTTCACGACTGGGATTTATGAACGCAGTAGCGTCACGTTCTTTGCGTTTTCTAGAATACGAAAATCTCAAACTAAAGTTTTAAATTAATAAAAATGTAATTTTATAAGTAGGGCGTGAAATTTCTCAAACATGGATCGGTAAATGTTTCACAAGGTTTTGCTGACAGTATTATTGATCAGAATAATATTTGGTTGACACGGGATTTGTGTTTATCTTAATGTTTATTTTGCAAATTATACTTAAGAGTGTACAGATCCGAATCAATCCCCAATAAAATAAAGAAAGCCCAAAACACTCTAACACGAGTTGCCATCAGTTTAGGTGGCGGCGTGTTTGAGAATTAAGTATAATTCTCAAAGAAGACCTTAAGGAGGCAGCTTCCAGCTCCTATACACAGACAACCACACTACCCTACCAACGAAATCAACTTTAGAGGTTATGGACCGTAAATAAACTAACAAAGGGCTAATATTAATGATGAATGTACAAGAAAGTGAAAGCTTAAGGACAAGGGCCTATTTCAGGACACCAATTCGGAATTTACACTGGGAAAAGATCAAAGAAAATTGTCATGTAAGTATCAGAGATTCGAACCGCGTGTCCTCCTGTTGCTAGTCAAAGGGATGGCAGCTGTGCTGCCACCCCTGAAGTTAGAACGTGGAGCTGTTTCGGTTACTCCACCGTTGATGCTACAGTTAGGAAAGTCTCCTGTATCTACAATCGCTTCTTTCGCTCAAACATCGTTTACGAAAATGAATTCCAATGTTAAGTTCCCTGTGGACGCGAAAGATGACAGGAACTGCCTTAGAGACTGCAAAATTGTGTGAACGTTAAAACTGTGACTTACGCCGTTATTGCGCTGCTATCGCGATGTCTGCATGCACACCTGTCACTGTCACTTGCCTAATTTTTGTATGACGGATCACGTAAACATGGTAATTCGGATTTCGTTACGATAAATCATCAGTCCACCTCGTTAATAACTAACTCCGTGGTACTGTGTATTCCGTGAGCAATTGATAGTTAATAAACGTGTCGGAAAATTTGTCCTTCACGGAATGCAGTTTCAGGGCAATGTTAATACGAGCCATCCACGTGGTTCAGTGGTACTCCATAAAACACATCGTTAGCCGCCTCCAGCCAGGCGCTGTTAACCATTTAGTTGAGGCTTACGATCGCCGCGAGGGTTACAACACTGTAGTTCGAATAAAGCGCAATGTGACTCAGATAACATTACTTATATTCGGCAGTCAAGCGAACGCTGATATTAAGAATTCTTGCAAAAAGAATTATTTATAATTTGATCTACATGATACGAGAATATACATATAACATTGTATAAAAAACACGTTTTAGCAAACGAAGAATAATCCGCCAACAGAAAGAATGCAATAAAAATGTACGTAATTTAAAGTAAGAAACGCAGGAAAAAGGAAAAGATTCTGACATTAAAGAAAATGAGCGGAGTGGATTATGAAAATTTATAGTGAAAACTGTACAAAGAAAGCGATGTATCTGAAGTCAAAGAAAATGGAAAACACTGATCTAAAAAAAACCCTTACACTCCTTTCAAAACATCAGATTTTAGCAGTTTTAAGAAATGATTTTACTTGTAAAAGGAAATAAAAACACATCAATCAGATCTGTGCTCTCGTCCGTCCATTAAAAGCAGAGGAAAACGTACTGAAACTACTCCGACTTTAAGCCAGGTCAGTGGGAGAGAAAAGGCTAGAAATATGATAAATTCAAAGTTTCCACTTTGTCGTCTGTACTTTAGGAGCATTTTCTAAATTCAGCAAAGTGAATGGGAGATGGAATTCAATCAAGGAATAACAAACGAAGATACGCAAAAGAAAATAAAGGATTAAAACAAGAATTATAATGAGAAGAGAAGAGAGGAACCGAAAGCTAAAGTAAAATAAATAAACACTCAGATCACGAAATTCGGCGAAGCTACCGCGGAACCACAACCACCACAGAAGGAAACGTATTTTCCTTTACGGGCTGCAGGAAGCGCTTTATCTCCGCAAATAGCACCAGCGGCATTCAAGATGTGTACTCCAATTAGGAGTACATCGTCTCCAACTGCGTTCATTTTTATTTCCTATCTGTGTTCGTTTATTCCAGACAAAACAGATCAAATCTAATCAGTTCAACCCGTCTTTTCTTATGAGGCTCGAAATTGCTGACAATAAATTCTTCATGGCAAGAATTCGGTTTGATCTTAAAACGTCGCGGTGGTACCGCTGCTGCTTCGTATTAGGGCAGTCCTGGGTTCAGTCATAGGCTCAAAAGACGACCGTCCTAACAGGATCCTAGTGGGTTTACTTAGTTTCTCATTGAAAATATTAGAACAGTAGCTTAAAATAGGTCACGATCTCTTCCTTGCACATCTGATTTGCAGCTATAATGACTTAACATCATATATATACACAGCATACATCTAGATCAAGAGAGAGGCAAGAAGCAGGGTTTTGTGAACATGGTAATGAAATATCGGGTTATAAAAGACGTGGAGATTTATCTTCTCAATAATGTTTCTGCTTTATATAGTTAGTTAAACATGTGACTGTCAAATTAAAAAGTTCGCCAGCGTTCCAAACTTCATTGTCGCCTGAGGCGAGAGATGACGTTAAGTCTTTGTCAAGATACATTAATCCGAGTCACATGACGACCTCTCGAGCTACCGGCGAATTTTCCCAATATCCCAAAAGCACTGTTCTTTTTTTTCCACAGTACTTTTCAGAAATTCTTCGAGCCGAGCTGACTTCCCCTTTAGCATTTTCGGAACACACCAGTATGTTTAATTAGCGACAATTTGCATCCTGTTCACGAACAGAAGGATCGGCGGTAAGAGGGTGAGGGTACCATATTTGCTAAATGGATCAGACTTAAGATTTTACCGCTTCCCTCATAACCCCCCCGCCGGGACCTCAGCTACCCTCTGCACAATTCCTCATAACCCCCTCGTCCGGGACCTCAGCTACCCTCTGCACAATCCAACTCCCTTGTAAAAGGTCTTACACAAATTGTGTTAAATCGTATTACTGTACATACAACTTGGCCGGATACAAACTCGGAGCTCTTGTTAAGGTCGGAATAACGGAATCCGAACGTGTTATTTCCAGAGTCGAAAGTAAATGGTTCCTTCTTAGAGGTTTCCCTCTGAATTTCATTCGCTGGATTACAGAATGCAATAGTATGAGTAACATCACACAGATGCACTATGTCCCGGGTTCGAGTCCCGGTCCCGAAACCAGCTATTCTGAAATTTCTCGTGGTTTTAATTAGTATATCCAGAATATATGGGGATAGTCCCATGAACACTTCGCTACCTTTTGCATTATTCTCTATTTTACGCCTTCCTTAATCAGTTAATCAACCTTTTGTATTATAATTAAAATTATACTTCGTTACGTACGTAGTAATTACGTCCCACAATCTATATTTGTCTTTCACAATGATTACTCATGCAAATATTGTCCGTTGTATGAAGAAACGGGCTCTTTATCTTGTAGTCTCAGTGATCTAATTGTTAGACTACTAAACTAATATTAAAAATAAGCCGGGTTCGATCACAATTGTGTCCACTAATCGTAAAAATGACACAAACATCTGTCAGCACGTTAAAAACCATTCACGTGGACAAAGGAATACACCCAACTCCCAAGACGTCCATATAAGCTGAGCGCGGAATTATACAGAGGCCAAACTCCCAAGACGTCGTTATAAGCTGAGCGCGGAATTATACAGAGTGAAAGTTAAAGGGTCGGATAGGAAGCGGTCGTATTTCTTTCAAGGCGTCATCCAGCGGGAGAGAATGAAGTCAAAAAGTACCATGACCAGGTAAAGAACCAATCCCAGTACGATAATCCAATCTGCTTGTTTAAATCAAAATACAGTCTTTTAAGATATCTTTGCCTTATTGGTAACCTAAGTTAATCTGCTACTACAGCGCGTAAGAACAGCTCCACAAAAGATGGGACAAAATTGCCTGAGGATGCTCGTTATACTAACCCGTGTAACGTTCGTGCCAGAGAAGTTGCCGAATAGGCAAGGCGATACACAACTATTCTCGGTCCAGCGTCGAAAAACAGTTCGTTAATTCTTGTATCTCACAAATTTGTCTCTTTTTTTAATTTACCTTTTGAAACACAAAGCTCATCTGAAGTGTTCGCTTCTTTAAAAAAATACAATGTCTCTAAATTACAAACATCTGATGGTTCACGCTCTTCAACGAATTAATTCCTATATCGCCATCTTTGCTTCAAATAGTTCAACATCAATGTCCATGATAGCAAAATTAAAATTAATAATTACACAATTTAGTTATAAATTTCTATCCATTATTTTCACTTATAAAGATGAAGACTTCATAAACATGACATATGTAACATCAAATTTCATGTCATCAGAGAATGATGGCGGAGTAACTCATATGAAACCCTAAAGATAATTCTCATGTATTCACGTAGCGCATGCTACTCAAAGCAGGCGCTGAATACCACCAGCAAGACTCATATAAATTTAAAAAAAAAACACGGCACGACCTCTTGATTTAAGGATCTCAATTTCTGTCTCAGTTTTCTTTATCATCAGGCTAGTTCCCTTAATTTTTATCACCTCACAAGGTGTGCGCAGAATATTTGTAACATTTTAGACACC